GGTTATTGACGAATGACAATATCACAGGGAGATTTATAGAGATTGGTGACGAATGACAATATCAGGGAGATACATAGAGATTGGTGACGAATGACAATATCATAGAGATATATAGAGATTGGTGACGAATGAAAATATCACGGAGATATATAGAGATTGGTGACGAATTACAATATCACGGAGATACATAGAGATTGGTGACGAATGACAATATCATGGGGAGATTTATAAAGGTTGGTGACGAATGACAATATCACGGAGATATATAGAGATTGGTGACGAATTACAATATCACGGAGATACATAGAGATTGGTGACGAATGACAATATCAGGGAGATACATAGAGATTGGTGACGAATGACAATATCAGGGAGATACATAGAGATTGGTGACGAATGACAATATCATGGGGAGATTTATAAATGTTATTGACGAATGACAATATCACAGGGAGATTTATAGAGATTGGTGACGAATGACAATATCATAGAGATATATAGAGATTGGTGACGAATGACAACATCATAGAGATATAGAGAGATACCTGACTAATGATAATATCACAGGGAGATTTATAAAGGTTGGTGACGAATGACAATATCACGGAGATATATAGAGATTGGTGACGAATGACAACATCATAGAGATATATAGAGATACCTGACTAATGATAATATCACAGGGAGATTTATAAAGGTTGGTGACGAATGACAATATCAGGGAGATATATAGAGATTGGTGACGAATGACAATATCACAGGGAGATTTATAAAGGTTGGTGACGAATGACAATATCACGGAGATATAAAGAGATTGGTGACGAATGACAACATCATAGAGATATAGAGAGATAGCTGACTAATGACAATATCATAGGGACATAAAGAGACTATAACTACAATATCACATGGAGATAATTTAGAGATTGGAGACAAATGACAATATCAAAGGGAGATATGACAATAGCAAAGGGAGATATATAGAGATTGGTGACGAATGACAATATCATAGATAGATATATAGAGACGGGAGACTAATGAAAAAATCACCAGAATATATTAAGAGATTGGTGACTAGGCTACTTAAACAGAAAACTGAGAAAAAAGTTATAGATTGTTTATAATTGTTGGAAGAGGGGAGGCATACATTTTTTCAATTACATAGTGAATTTTCGCCAAGTATTCATGATCTTGACTTTTTCTGTATATTGAATTATATTTATATATCCATGCACACTGATGCCTTTTTGCTTTTGCATCCAAAACAGTTATTATTGATTAAAATAAATTTGATATCAAAGAGGATCTGAAACTGAAATGGAAAATACACTGTTCGTAGTATAAGAAGATTTGGAAGCATGCAATGTTTAAATGAAGCAGATTTTTAGGTCACCTGAGACCCAGATATGGTAGAATCAAATACTCTCCATAGATGAAAGGGTCTTAGGGTGCTTTACCAAAATTGTGAATTTCATGACCCTGGGGTCTCACGTTTCCCCCTGGGGAGGGGGTAAACTTTACTATAGTTTATATAGGGAAATCACATTTTGGACCAACATTTGTTTAATTTCCTTTGGAAGTAATTCAATTTAGGTTAGCATTAT